ACCCCGGCCCTGGGGTCTCCGCTGGGGCACCCCGCTCGGTACGGGGCTGCCGCTGCGGCGCTTGGCACCGAGGGTCCCTCCTGCCCGCTGCCCCCTCGCAGCAGCCCGGACTCCTGCACCGCCGCAGGGCCTTGCCCGGGGACGCCAGTCACGGCGGCCTGGGTTGAGGCCACTCGCTGGCTTAAATCCGCGCCCGAAGCTGCTGGGGGCTTCTCTGAGAAGCGGTGTGGGGAAGTGAGGAGCCCTTGGCCCGGCCGTGGAGAGCGGTGCTGGCGTTGGGGCCTCAGCTCTGCAAAGGCTCTTCAGAGCCCAGCCTGGGAGGGGTGTGGGAGGAACAGAGGAACGGCTGGAGACTGGCTTTAAGCTCAGGTGCCTGTGCTTGAGATGTGTACCCAGGAAAGCTTTATGGAAAAGCTCCTCTTAAAGCCCCTTTGTGTGTTTACCTGCTCTCTAACTACCTAAGGAGCAGCAGATGGGAATCCCAAATCAAGACCTATCATGCCCTATTCCCCTTCAGTCCCCGCCAGGTAAGGTGGAAGCTGCAGTGATGGCTGCCATCGATGCTGGGTACCGCCACTTTGACTGTGCCTACGTGTACCAGAATGAGAAGGAAGTTGGGGAGGGGATCCAGGAGAAAATCAAGGAAGGTGTTGTTAAACGAAGTGACCTCTTCATTGTCAGTAAGGTATGGATCAGATGGTCTTGCATCATGGACGAGCTGGTTTTACCTTTTTTACAGTAGGAAACTAAAGTAGTTGGAGAATCTCATAATGTAAATGCGCTAGCTCCTGATACTACTTTACTGTTTTGCTTCAGCACACTGATGAAGTTTGATTCTTTCCTGTCTGCTGATAATATTTATTGTTGTAGCTGCTGGATAGGAAGAGTGTGTTCCTTGAGCTCTGAGCAGGGAGAATAATCACCCTTATCCTGACTGTCTGGTGGCAGCTTTCTTCCCCAGTCAACCCAATAGTACTGAAGGAAAACAAGCTCTGATTTTCCCCCAGCAAAAGCTACAGGAAGCTTGAGCACCACAGCCCTGCTGTGATCTGGCACTCTGCTGAGGAGTCCCAGAAGTACTGGGGGATGGATGAAGAGGAACCTAGCTCTGCATCTCATACCCACAAACCAATTGATGCAAAAGGGAAGCAGGAAAAGCTAGAGTGCGACGGGTAGCAGTTCCCTTTCTCTTGCTTCCTAAGGAAAACAGGATATTTAGCTGGATTCTGAAGTTGCTACTTACCTTGATAAAGTTTGGTACCAACTCCTTCTTTGAGGCTTGGCTTATATTTTCTTGGCTTTGCCTGCTAAATTTAATGCAGGAGTTTTATGCATCCTCAGGAATGACAGACTATGTCTTAATTTAAAAGCCACCTATTGTCAAGGCAGACACTCTGTAAAAGGGGGGAGCACAAATTATGTCTTAAGTAATGGACCAGAGGATTTTGTCTGTTATGACCCTGCTCAAATACCTGTGCTGCCACTGCACACGCTGCCTTCAGTGTCATGAGCCAGTCCCATGACAGAGCAGGGCCCATCTGAAGAGCGCTAGGATGACCTCATTCCACATCACCTTTCAAAGAAGATAAGAGCATTTCTGTCCTGTACAGGAGAGCACCCAAGAGCTTTAATGCAGGAGGTCGCAGTGTGCCTTTTTTTTTTTTTTTTCTCTAGCTATGGTGTACGTTTCATGACAAACCTCTGGTGAAGGGAGCCTGCCAGAAGACTCTTGCTGACCTGAAACTGGATTACCTGGATCTCTACCTCATGCACTGGCCTTTTGGTTTGAAGGTACAGCATTAGTAATGCCCTTGGTTTTGTTTCTTGTGACTACAGCTTTTGGGGACCTACGTGCCTTTACAGCCCAACAATTGCTCTGGCTGAGAAAGACAATCACGTGTCTTTGTGCACCAGCACTGCTGTGGTGCTCAGTTTTACTCTGTCCACATGAGCGAGGCTCTTGATCTTTGCCTCTGAGACTATTGCTTGCATATGCCTTTGATCCTGGGAATGATGGTCTGAAAACTAGGGGCAGGTCTCCCAGCTGCAAGCATAAACTAGGCTGTTCTTCCTTTCTCTTATAAATCAATGTATGCTCATCTCAAAATTACCCCTTGCAGGAAGGATGGCTGCACTTTGCTGCCTGTCAGAAATCTTCTCCTCTGTGTTATAGCATCACAGAGCAAAAGAAAATATTTCTGGTTGTCATTTCTCTTTTTAATCACTAAATCATTAATACAGTACAGATTGAGCTGACCTTGCCTGTAGGAGTCTTAGTGCTGCTCTGAGACAGGAATTCAAAACGTGAAACTTCTTGGGGGCCTGAACTCTTTCACTGATTAGTGAAGGAGTTGATGTCTCACTCTGACTCTTTCTACTCTTAGTGTTTCTGTCCTGCTATAGTCCAGTCTCCATCCTACTTGTTTTAGTTAACATTGAGCTTTGTTACGGAAGAACTGTCACTGCACATGGTACCTCTCTTTAGCAGATCTGGTGTTGGGTAGGCCAAAGCTGTGTGTTCCTAGTACCCAACTAGGTCCCTGATGCCCTTCTGGGAAAAGAACAAAACAGTTCCTTCTAAGTGGGCACAAAAGAACAATATATGAAATGAATGTGTATGAGACTGGAGGCTGTAGTTCTGAGTGGTTTGTTTCCCGGTAGGTGTTTGGGTGAGTCATCACTTGAGGGGTCCAGCAGAAAAGCCTGTCTTTATGGGAGCGATCACAGGCAAAAATGCCTTAAATTCCTCCTGCTCCTCAAAGGAATGACTGAATGTAGACAAGAATTAATGTTCTTGCGTGCACTAGGAGTTTAAACTGTCATGGTTGTGAGCTCTCGTGATATTAAGCAAACTTTTCAATAGATTTTTCAAGGATTTTCTTTGTCACTGACAGGCAGGAGAGGAGCTGTTTCCCACAGATGACAAAGGCATGTCTATACCCAGCAACACAGATATTCTACATACATGGGAGGTAAGTTCAGCCACAGTGGAAGAGTCATGTCTTCTCAGCAGTGGTGTTAGCTTCAGCAGTCACAGAATGGCTCATGCATGTATGCACAATTAGTTGGAAAGAATTCACAAAAGTATGTGGTAGCTTTTAAAAATGTTTATGCTTAGTCAAGCTATTATTCCTATTCACTGTGGATTCGTATCTCAAGTCATCGAGTTACACAGTCATTTTCAGTGAAGCTGCAGAAAGTTGTTTACTCAACCACAGTTATACAATTGTTCTTCACTGCAGTCAGTTCTCATGCAGTTCTTGAACTGCTCAAACAGATTTTGCAGAAGTAGACACTTAGGTTGTGATCCGGCCCTCCTCCTAGGGCATAGCCCTCCTGTGCTGTGACAGTAGTAGAGTTAGTGAACTTGTTCTTGTGTAACTCAGTGAATTTAAGTCTCAACAGTGATTTTGAGCTTTGGTGTGATAGAAGACATGGCACAGATACTAACAGGATCCACTTTTCTGCTTGAGAATCAAAAACCTGGCAAGTCCAAGCAGTTACTCTGTGCTGCCCATGAAGGGAAACAAGCCACATCAGGAAGAATGTGTTCAGGTCATGTCTTGTACCCTGGGTGCTGACTTTGCTGCACTTTGTATTAGGCCATGGAAGAGCTGGTGGATGCTGGTCTGGTAAAAGCCATTGGCATCTCAAACTTTAACCGTGAGCAGACTGAAAGAATCTTGAACAAGCCAGGACTGAAGCATAAGCCTGCAAATAACCAGGTAAGCTGCAAAGTGACTGCAGATGAATAGTTTCCAGGGATTATAAAGATCTGATTACAGTTGAATGAGGGGATAGAAAAAAAGAACAAAATAGACATAGCACTTATCTTAAGTCCTGCTCCATGGATATTCCTCACTACAAAAAGGACCAGAATATTTCCTTTTTGCCTCACCTTGTTGAACCACTTTTTACAAATTTTAAGAGTATTTTTATATGAAGCATTCTCTGAAGGGATAAAGAATCCAGACATGAGCTATCATTCTGACCGTAACCGATGAATTTTATAAAGCCTCTCAGAACAAATAAAAAAGGTACTTAAGGACTCAATAGAAAAGTTGGTGCCCATGTGCAGGTTAAGTTGGAGGCAGCCTGTAATTAGGAAGTTAGGATTCAGAAAAAAAAAAATCTCTGGAGTATGGGAACACTATAGTAGTTCCACAGCTGTTGGTCACTGCTCCTGTGTTGGCAGATCGAATGTCATCCGTACCTCACCCAGGAGAAGCTGATCAACTATTGCCAATCCAAAGGGATCACTGTGACAGCGTACTGTCCCCTTGGACGCCCTGACAGGTAATTTCCAAGTGTGTTAGTGTAGTTTAAGTTTGAAACATTCAGATTAATTGAATGAGTAATGGGGCAGGTGCATATACATTTTTTACTTTTTTTTTTTAAATTACTCATGCAAAGTAGAATCATTCTGGAGTGACTCTGTGCTGGTTTTCTCTTTTTTTTTCTCTGTGTAGGACTAATCCAGAGGAACCTTCCCTTCTGGATGACCCCAAGATCAAAGACATTGCAGCCAAGCACAATAAAACCCCAGCACAGGTATGTAGGTGCTGGACAGTGGGTACACCTTCCTATAACATGGCCATTAAGGAAACTGTCTGAAGAGGAGGTTCAGCCTCTATCAGTGTTCCCTATGAACTGTAGTGCTCTGTAAACAAGCATTGCAGGTTGCCTACTCTGTGGCCTACAATATATGCTACTAGTATCTCTTTGGCCTTCAGCCAGGAAAAGATTCTTGACCCATCTTCAGATGTCACTTCCCCTCTTGGGTCCTCTTGCAGGGAATGAAAGCCTCACATTGACTGCTAAAAGCCCAGGTGAGAAAAAACTAATTGACAGTACCAAAACTGGATAGGAAAGTGGGCCTCCGCCACTTCTCTCTGCTCTCCAGGAAGCACTACCTCAGCCACAGGGATGGGAATGATTTGAAATGCAGCTCTGCAGAAGTGGTTAAAGCTTATGGAAAACAGCTGTTGGGACAGGGTCTGCTTCCTCCAGAGGAGGAGATGTCCTCTCTCAGTGATCTGTTCCTGCAGGTTCTCCTTCGCTTCCAGATTCAGAGAAATGTGATTGCAATTCCCAAATCTGTCACACCACAGCGTATTGTGGAGAACTTCAAGGTGAGTGATTAAAGTAAGCTGAGTGCTGCCCTTCAGGCATGGTGTGCCTTCTCCCTGCATAGCAAGCATGACCCTTTTTCGCCCTTCCCAGGCCCTCCAGCAGGAGAACTGGGCTTTTTTTTCCTCTATCTGGTAGCTAGGGCTATAATGAAAACTAGAGCTGGAGAAAAGATAGAGAGCTCTTGGAAAAAGTATGCTGATAACCTTATTGGCCACCTTACATAGTGTCTCTTGTTCTGTGACTTGTGGATGAAGTGGTGGGCAGGGCTTGCTTAGAGCCCAAGCGCAGTAACATTCCTCAAAATATAGAATAAGCAATGTTAAGGGAAGAGTCCTGGTGTCAATAAGCCACATTGCTCTTCTGACTGTTAAATCAGGGGTTTTTTTTTTCTGATACTGGACATCAAAATTTCAGAAGTAACACAGCTGGATTTACTGAAATATGAAAGTCTTCCAGATCTTTCTTTTGAATTGGGGAGAAATACATCTTCCATGGATAGAGGCATTCTGCAACACTAAGGTGCTTACCAAACGTCTTTGAACAGCTGGCACATGTAACTGCAACTGGCAGTCTTTTTTGTTTGTTTCTCAGAAATCCACATACTTCTCATTTTCCTGTCTCGTGAAACCATTGTTTCTAACCAGCACCCTTTCTGATGTGAACTTGTTCTTTAATCTTGTGATTCTTGCTTCTGATTTGATTTGTTCAAAGAGGTGATTTCCAGCTGTTTCTCTTGCTAGGTGTTTGACTTTGAATTGACCAAAGAGGAGATGGCAGCTCTTCTCAGCTTAAACAGAAACTGGAGAGTCTGTGCAATGATCACGTAAGTGACAGCTTGTTTCCTTCAAACTCTTGAATTTTCCAATATTTATTCTGATCTCACAAGTATTGGTATACATGTTTAAATTGGTATTTTGTGAAATCTGAAATAATTTAGGGGATGAATCTGTTATTTAACATCTTATTGGAGCTATATTTTCACTTTACTGACTGAAGAATGAGTGGAAGTCATATTGTATATTCATTGTGAATCCTTTCTAGAGGAAACTTTATGAACATGGAATTTCAAACGGAGCGTTCTAGTTGATAACTTTAGCTATGTCCATATTGGAGAAATGAGCATCAGGCAGTTTTAAACTTACAGTAATTTTTTTTTCTGTGAATTATAAACTGATGTCAGCTCTTAAATAGGTGGTTGGGGAGGGAATGACCATCTGAAGTGCAGTATGAACAGCTGCTTGCAGATGTACACTTTGGAAGCCTATAGCAAGACAAGAAGTATTGGCTGAAAGGACACAGAAACTGCTGTTTTCTCTCTAAGTAGTGTGAACTTTAACTCTTTATTTAGAAAGTAACTTGGTCCCACCACTGTTCAGTGCCTGAATAATAGAAAAACACTTGAGCTTGTTGGTCATGTATGCCATTTCTATGCTGATAAGCCTTCTAAAGTCATTCTTCATTTACACAGTTCAGAGCCTCCCTTGAAGGCTCCTCTGTACACTCATTGCTATATAGCATTTATTTCAGCCTTGAGAGTAATCTTTCCTCTTTGATTTTTCTCCAGGTGCAAAACCCACAAGGAGTACCCTTTCAATGCAGAATACTGAAGATAATTCTATCCTGCCCTCCTGCAGGCCTCTGGGGTCTGAGCTTCTAGCGTTGCCTAGAGTTGTCCACTATGTAGCTTGCACACTGTGTATCTCCTGCCAGCAAAGGCACAGTATATGTATTCAGTGACTTTGGGTTTTTCTTCTTTGGTGGAAGGAAATAGTAAAATTGTTCTGAAGAACAAAATATGGGCTATAATAATTCTCATTAGATGAGTGTCTCTGCATGGCTGAAATCACAAATAAGAAAACATGAGGAATGAACTAGCAACTGATATTTTTTTTAATCTTCTGTCTTGCCACTTAGGGCTGCAGGTTAAGGATATGTTAGCACAGAAGAAAGATCCATCCTAAAAGAATGAACTACATAATAATAGATAATTGAGGATAAAGACAACAGTTAACTTTCCTTTTAGATCATAGCCCAAAGCTTTCTGGGAAAGAATAAATGGGAGAAATGTCCAGACCTATAGACACATACCAACTCACACTGGTCCTTATTTCAGTCGCATTCTTTTACAGGCTTAAACTGGGCAGAGATTGTGTTCAATTTTATTCTTATCCAAAATAAAAGATGTTTAATTACTGCTGGTTTGAAGTTCTAGTCTAATGGGAAAAATTGACAAACCAAGCCACTTGCATCAACAATGTCACTGGAAACCATCATCCATACTTAATTTTAAATTATGTCACTGGAGCATCAAGATCTTGTCTTGATCAGAAGTTGAATGACTTGGTATAATGAGCTTTGGTTGACAGAGCAATACTGACAAGAACAGTCAAGAATGGTAAGTCTTATTATGGATCCTGGATCAACAAGTAATGGGAGACCAGCATTGAAACTGATAGAAAGCTGTACAGTGGTATCACTGTGGACTGATTTGGTTGGTAGCCTGTGCTGACGTCTGGCTATTGAAAACCCAGAGTAACAGACTGGGTAAAGAGGGGGGACTGTGTTAAGCAGTCCAGAGGGAACTGGCTGATGAATTGACTAAGCCACTATCCATAATATTTGAGAAGTTGTGGCAGTCTGGTGAAGTTCCCACTGATTGGAAAAGGGGGAACATAACCCCATTTTTAAAAAGGGTAAAAAGACCTGGTGAACTACAGGCCAGTCTGACCTCTGTGCCCAGCAACATCATGGAGTGGATTGTCCTGGAAACTATGCTAGGGCACAATGGAAATAAGGAGGTGACTGGTGACAGCCAACGTGGCTTCACTAAATCGTGCCTGAAAAATTCAGTGGCCATCTATGACAGGTTACAGTATTGGTAGATAAGGGAGGAGAAACTGACATCATCTACCTTGACTTGTTCAAAGTGTTTGACACTTTCTTGCACAACATCCTTGTCTCTAAATTGAAGAGATTTGGTTTTGGTGGATGGACAACTCAGTGGTAAGGAATTGGCTCAAAGACTGTACTCAGAGTTGTGGTCAACAGCTCTGTGTCCAAGTGGAGAGCAGTGACGGGTGTTGTTCCTCAGGGGTCAGTGTTGGGAATGGTGCTGTTTAACATCTTTGACATGGACAGTGGGATTGAGTGCACCCTCAGCAAGTTCACTGATGACTGATGCTGCGTGGTCCAGCTGACACTGGAGGGAACTGATGCCATCCAGAGGAACCTTGACAGGCCTGTGCAAACCTCACAAAGTTCAACAAGGCCAAGTGCAAGGTCCTGCACATGAGTTGGGGCAATCCCAAGCACAAATACAGGCTGGGCAATGAGTGGATGGAGAGTAGCCCTGTGGAGAAGGACTTGGGGGTAGTACGATGGAAAACTGGCTATGACCCATCAATGTGCACTTGCAGCCCAGAAAGCCAACTGTACCCTGGGCTGTATCAAGAGAAGTGTGACCAGCAGGTCAAGGGAGGGGATTCTCCCCCTCTACTCTGTTCTTGTGAGAACCCACCTGGAGTGCTGTGTCCAGCTCTGGGGCCCCCAGTGTAAGAAGGTCATGGACCTGCTCAAGCAGGAGGCCACGAAGATGTTGAGGGGGCTGGAGCACCTCCCTTATGAGGACAGGCTGAGAGAGTTGGGGTTGTTCAGCCTGGAGAAGAGAAGGATCTACGGAGACCTTATATTGGCCTTCCAGTACCTAAAGGGGCCTACAGGTAAGATGGTGAGGGATTCTTTATCAGGGAGTGTAGGGAAAAGATGAAGGATAATGGTTTTAAACTGAAAGAGGGTAGATTTAGATTAGATCTAAGGAAGAAATTCTTTAATGTGAGGGTGATGAGGCACTGGAACAGGCATACCAGAGAAGTTGTGGATGCCAATGCCGAGTTGGAGGGGGTTTGAGCAACCTGGTCTAGTGGAAGCTGTCCCTGCTGACTCACTGGCATGGTAATGAGGCCAAGTCTCTGTTAACTGTAACTATATGTATGATTAAACTTTCACTACTCACTGGACTAGTAGGTTTGGGACACATAATATTACACCTTGTGAATACTTCCAGGTATTGTTCTCCTGTGCCTTCACAGCCATAGCTCATATGTGCCGACACCTCCTGCGTGTATGTAACGACTTCTCCAGTGGTTCACGTGATGCATTCAGCTTAGCAGTGTCACAATGCCTGGTGCTCCCTTACTCCATGACGAAAGTAAAAAGAACTTAGCCTTTTTATGGGATTAAAGAGAAAGAAACTTTTTGTTTTCAAATGAGGTGTGAACAAAACTTTCACTTTTGGCTTGAGTGTTATGGTTATGAGAGACATGGGACAATGGACCTCAGATACATTACACCTTTAGATGTTGTTATTACTCATTTACATTTTCCAACAGGAAAAAAAACACAGCATGCAAGTATTATCTCAGTACACTGATATATTGAGATCACATAAGATATTCTAAAATATATGTTTATAAATCCCTAGAATATATGTAATATGCTTTTCAGATGGAGCTCCTCCAAATATTTCTGACCAAAATTTCCAAAAGAATGTAACATGCAACCTCAAGATGAGGCAAGAAAATATGGAAAAATACTGCAGACAAATCTTAATGCTAAATATTACTTACAGGCAGACACAAGAATCAGAATTTACAAGGGGCAGTGCTTTCCCCTTGGTGTGTTTGTGAGTTTAGTTTTATTTTTTTTTTAAACACAGTTCTGTATCTGAAATGCTCTGAACTGGCCATAGTTGTCTTTTATGCCCAGGTCACATACAGCAGTCTCCCTGGGGAAATTACTCTCACCTAACTTTAGGTGTTCACAGTGTGAGTGCAAGCAGCCATCTCGGCCCACCTGATGCTCGTGATCTTGCTCTAGACCTAATGCACTCTATCTCCCTCTCCTGGAAGCAGAGGTTAAGTCAAGCTGCAGTCCCCTGCACTTAATGGAGATGAACCCTTCCTGGGGCAATTCCCACCAATAAAACCATGCGGTGCTTTTCCTACAGGCATCAGAGGGCAGCCAGCCCTCAGAGGAGGCTTGAATTTCTCTGTCATTGCAGGCCAGGAGCAAACCAGACAGCTGGCATGTGAAGGACCAACAGGGCCACCACGTCAGACGAGCTGTGTTCTTGTCAGTGGCATTAACTCTCCCCTACGCTTCCTGAAAACACTGCCTGACACACAGCAGTGCAGCGCTGTCTTATGACCCCATCAACCTGTTGGCTCCCAGATGCTCTCTTGTGCTCCCTGTAGGTCTTCTTCCCCCTCCTCAGTTTTGGCCTGCCAAAGAACATCCAACTTATGACTCTCAAATTCTTCCCACTCTTCTAATTATCTTTGTGGGGGTCTCAGCTTTGTGCCTTTCAAATCAGTAGCTTATTGTAACAGGAGAAGGATAGCACTTTTTCCCCAAGTAAGTGAAAACTTAAACTGTTTGTTTAAATATAAAAATTAAGAGGAAGGGAAAAAATGACAACTAAGTGGAAAGTGAAAGTTTAATTTGTTGCTGAAACAGCTTGAATACTTCTGCTGCAGCTGTAGCAGAGGGCTGGCACTTAAATGTTTGATCAGGATAAAAGCAAAAATCCTTCCACTAAGGTTTTAAATTACAAAATAACTTCATCTAAGGGAAGACAAAATGTACATATGTAAATATTGCTGTGTTTTTGTAGTGCCTTCTCAGCACAGTGTTTTTCTTATGGCACTGTGTTGGTTTAAGCCCTGCCGGGACCGGAGAGCATGTTGCCGTTGCCCCTCCCCCACCCACAGCCGGTCGGGCTGGCAGTGAGGCACAAACCCCGGGGTAAAATAAGAAGAAATTTAATACAACAGTGTGATAAACAATCTGAACAATGACAACAACAACAATAACAACAGTGGCAATTATAACAACAATGAACAGCAATAACAGTGAACAGGACAAAAGATATACAGAGAAATACCGCAAATGGTCAGGGAACAAAGCCGACACGCGGGTCCCGCCACCAAAGAGCCAAAAAGAAAGTAAAATCAAAGTTTCCCGCCCCTGGACCTGACGTCAGCATGGTATGAATAACCCGGCTGGAGATCCCTTCCCCCTCTCTCTCTGCTGGGGAAACCTAACCCTATCCCAGCTGAACCAGGACATAATCCACCCCTTTATTCTATACCATCTGCGTCATGTCCAGCTGCCATTTAGCAGTTAACATAATCAAGTCCCCCTGTGGTACAAATGGGACCTCTCCATGTCCTGCATCACCCACCAGGTGCACCCAGGTCCTTGGGCAAAAGCAATCCCATGGATGGGTTTGCCTTTACCTTTGCCTGGCGCAGGACTAAACCAGACCATTTTTCCCAATATATTCCTCATGCGCACCACAGGGACTTTATCCCCATCTACAGCACGTGGAGGTTTTGACTGCGCCGGGCCAGCTCGACTGGCAGATCCTCTTGTGTTGACTAGCCAGGTGGCCTTTGCTAGATGCATGTCCCAGTCTTTGAAGGTCCCACCTCCCAGTGCTTTCAACATGGTTTTTAACAGTCCGTTGTAGCGCTCGATCTTCCCAGAGGCTGGTGCGTGGTAGGGGATATGGTAGACCCACTCGATGCCGTGTTCTTCTGCCCAGGCATTTATGAGGTTGTTTCAGAAGTGGGTCCCGTTGTCTGACTCAATTCTCTCTGGGGTGCCGTGTCGCCACAGGACTTGGGTTTCAAGGCCCAGGATGGTGTTCCGGGCAGTGGCGTGGGGTGCTGGGTAAGCTTCCAGCCACCCAGTGGTTACTTCCACCATTGTGAGCACGTGGCGCTTCCTGTGGCAGGTCTGTGGCAGCGTGATGTAGTCGATCTGCCAGGCCTCTCCATATCTATATTTCAGCCATCGCTCTCCATTTCGCTGGGGCTTCACCCGCTTGGTATGTTTGATTGCAGCACACGTCTCACAACCGTGGATGATCTCTGCAATGGTGTCAATGGTGAGGTCCACCCCTCGATCTCGAGCCCACCTGTATGTTGCATCCCTACCTTGGTGGCCCGAGGTCTCATGGGCCCACCGGGCTATGAACAGTTCACCTTTGAGCTGCCAGTCCAAGTCCACCTGAGACACTCTGATCTTAGCAGCTTGGTCTCCCTGCTGGTTGTGTCTATGTTCATCAGTGGCCCGACTCTTGGGTTCATGGGCATCCACATGGCGCACCTTCACACAGTTTTCCACACGGG